AAATAGCAAACGCCTGAGTATTTTTACGAGGCTTGACATAAACTTTATCGAGAAAACTTGCGAATTTAATTGCGGATCCTCTTAAGAAACGATTCAAAGTAAAATGTTCCAAATAGTAATTAGCGCGCTATGAGTAATAACAACATCTAACAATAACAACATCTAACATCAGCTCATTAACTATAAAACCATGTTTTCTGTGTCATGCATGGCAAAGAGACCTATTTTTTCTCTTCGCATCAATGCCGGGAAAGACAGTCACCAACAGCTATGAACACTTACCTTTCCTCAACCGCAGGCGGTTTCTTAAATCACCCTCGTAAATTCTCACCCTTCTTAATTCCTCTCTTCTTCCCTCTTCTTTGTCTTCTCTTCTTTCATCTCTTTCTACCTCGGGTTCTACGAGGAAAAAGACCCGCAATCATTACAGATGTTCTGCAATTACAACAACTTTGGACTTCGAAAATCATAAACAAGTACGAAACTAGCTTTTCTACGGTGTAATACCTCTTTGGAATTGGAAAAATTCGCGTCTTATCTACCTCCTTCTGTTTTCGCGCTCACGTCTTCGACTCAACCGTTCCCTCTCTCGTGCATCTATAAACAACCACAGAAGAACCGATTAGTTAACTAAGCAAATAATTATCAATCAAAAGGCATCGTAGTTGGTATACATGAATTGTGATCCGTGCCAAAAAGGAAGTAAACATTATAAAATAAAGACTGTCAATTACCATCATGAGTTCAAAATAAAAAATTCAAAGTTTGTAAGTCTGTAGGTTCAAAACGCTATTTCCTTTATCTCCATGCTTCAGGCGTGTCTTTGAAATGTTTTGTTGGCACATAAGACCAAGCGCTTTTACCATGTTTACAGCGTTGTTGTACGCAACTTTTCAACCGCAGTAGTGTCTTTTCTGTAGGCTACACCCAGGTCAAATAAAACCGACGCCACACTTTAAGCCATTCTAGAAAATAAACTACAGTTCTGAGGCCAATATTTCTGTGCTTATTCCAAATGCAACCTCTGTAGTTTGTTATGCGTGTCAATTATTTCACTGGGTTCGGGGCCACAGCGATTTTGTCAATCCAATAGTAACCATAACTGGTCTCTGCGGCATGCCTTTGCAGCAAAAAACGAAATCGTAAAATTAAAAATCATAAGAAATTCAGACAAGATTTCCAAGAAGGTGATGTATCCTTAAACACGGGTTTGAAACAATTTGTAATGAAAACTTACCAATTCCAACTGCTACCTACTCAGCGTTACCTGCTCAAAACCACCTACAAAGAAAGTGACTGTGATTTCCACGTTTTATTCCACCACCGCATTATTCCCTGGGGTTGGGTCGGCTTTGTTCTCTTTGTTCTCTCTCAAAATAGTGCAAGCCGGAATGTGTGATAATTGACCAAATTAAACCACACGTGGGTCAAGCGTTGCAGCTCCAAAAATACATTAAAAAAAATATGCGTCTTCTAACTCTGAAACAATAAACTGGGCATAGAATGCTTATTTCGAAATCAAGCCTGACACTATGCCTGTTCTGAAAGTTCTTGGTTTTTGAGTTGAATAAGAGCAGCCTTCATGAGAGAAGTTTGTATAAGTGACGATAGGATATATTTCGCACCTGCAGCCTATGTAAAGCTGGGCGGTGGCAGGATCTATTCTTGCCGACGGAAAAAATACTTGCGAGATCACACAAATCAATTCCTTAATGTTTTAAACAATAGTGCGCAGTTTTTCTTTTATTTTTAATACAGGTCGATTACACTTGGCTATTTATCCACTGGGAAGTTAAACAAAGGAATATAAAGAGTTGAAAATGACGCTATGAGCGTTTCGTCAGGTCAAAGAAGCAAAATACCGCGGCGGCAGTTAAGATATCTTATCAATAAAAAAAAAAAAATGAAAAGCCGCGACGAATTTGCGTTAGATCGTTGTGAAAGCAAAGAGGCAAAATAGCTTGGCGCTTAATTAGCAGCAGAAGAGCTACCAACTTTAAACTGGTTAAAGCTAAATCCGACTGCCCTAATTGACGAGTTCATGAGTCTGATCTTTGAACCTTATGTCATCAGAGGAAAGTGGAAAATACTGCTACGGCGTTTCATTTTACATACAAGTTAGTTTCATCGTTTTGATATATCTAAACGTCACTAAATCGCTAAGGCACCAAATTTACGTTAATGTCAAGTCATGTCAATAAATTAGCTATTCCAATAGCTAAATGTTTCATTTGGGCACAAACTTGAAAAACCATGCATGCTAAACTTTCTGAATGGTGCGTTTGCATGGTCCTACTTGTAGCAAGCAATTATTGAGGGTTCTAAGTTTTGCGATTTTGGCGGGTAAATATATGTTATTGGCCAGCTGTGACGTCCGTATAGTGAAAAACTGTGACCAAGGTCTTGAAAATACTTCTCGAGGCCGCTGGCCGAGCGCAGCATTTTCAAGCCCGAGGTCACAGTTTTTCACTATACGGACCGACCCTAAGCCGGACAATAACATGTTTATCTTTTTTTCATGTGGGAAATTGGCTTACAAGTGGGTTTGTTTACGCAAATTTGTCATTGAATTGGCTTACGCGCCGTCTACAAAGTTAACCATTCGTAAAAAAATCTGACGAGCGAATGAGCGAGTAACTCAGATACTAGACTAAGAAAGATGTATTTAAGAACAGATTTATTTCGAACTACTTTATGTTACTTGCATTTAGCTCACCAGTTAAGTTCTTCAAAAGTGTTTTTCCGGTGTGAAATTTCGTGCAAAGTTTGGTTTGAAGTTGTACTACAAAAAAAATTTAAGTCAGTTGTTAATCACTCGAAATCAGACTTTTCTACTGTAAATTGAGGATAGATGGCGAGGAAATTCGTTCACTGTATTCCACAGAAATTCTCTCAAATACAGCAACGATCAGAGTGGTAAACTCGACTGAAATTGACTCATTTTTTGCTCAAAATTGCGCAGAGAGAGACACAGGATTACGCGCCATTACAGCGCCGAGTTACAAACAGCCAAACAAACTCTCACAACTTCCAAACACTCAGTTAAATCTACTTACAGTGACTTTCCTTGTCATATAAAGGTGAATAGGGAAAAACTTGCGTTGATTAGTCGTCGATGGAAGAGTAAAAAGGGCAAAAGATTGACGATTAACCCCAATTTGCACACGAAAATTATTGAGATCAACGCAACGGATTCCGCCCGCTGTGGCGCTCCGGATGGGAAATTTCGCCCGCTCCAGGAACCAATGAGATTGCAGGATTTGTTGAATAGCCCTTTTCACGGTTTATACCTTCGCTCATTTGCAAAACAATAAAATCTAGCATATATGTGAGGCAATTTCGGGCCATTTTGTAGTTTTAGCCCGAAATTGACTCGCATCCACGTTGGATTACGTTATAATGCAAATGCGAAAAAATTAACCGTGAAAAGGGCTATTGCGCCCGCTCACGAGCTGAGAAAAAGATAACGCATGTATGACGCCATCAAGATGATGCAACGCACTTTTTCCTACTGATCTCTAATGGTATGTCTACGCTGGATCGTTTTTTGGTCAATTAGAAACCAAAGGAACCCCTGGTTCTCCCTTGAAAAAAACCATTGAAGTCGGTTTTATGCATCTCTCCTGCCACTGAGAAGAGAAATAAAAAGCTGGCGTTAATTAGTAACACAGACTCATGAAAACTGTTAAAGAAGCCCACGCAAGCACAGTTTCCATTGAAGAGACACAAAACATTTTCCGTGTTTCTATCGAGTTATAAAAACATGAGTGGAAGCTAATTATTTTTTTTTCTTTATTTTTTAATTTTTATTTTATTTTATTTTTTTTTTTCTGCCACATTCCACTCCTTTTGCCAAACTGATAATTCTTTGAAAAATCATCCTGTCGAACATAACAAGATATCATCTAACTCCACTCGAACAATCGTCTCTCGTTATTTGTACTCAACGAAATTAATTGAAGTCCTCGTGGTTCTCCTTAGTGTTTCCCAAGCCTCTGGTTCATCAAAGGGATGCACGAAAGTTTGTAGCCAAAAGGGATACACATGAAAAAAGGTGGAACACATATTTCTATTTTCCATCAGTGCGTCGCAACTCGAAAACAAGTTACAAGCCTAAACTTTTTCCAAGTAACAAATAGTGGCGAAACATCTTGGAAAGTTGAATTAAAAAAGCACGATGATTTATGAAGTATTTTGTAAGTGTCTATACGAGCTTCGTCACTTACCGCGGAATCGTGAAAAAAAATGAGGAAAAAAAAGCGGGCAATTTTTCATCAGTGTTCCTTCAATACATCGTTCAAAACCAATGGAATTCTCTCTATCTCAATGATTGCTATACTTGTTTACCTTCACTTAATTAGTGTCCCCTTTGATGGTTTTACGCAAAATTAAACAATTATTTAGGAGTATCATGTAGACTGAAAGAAGTATTGCACGACGAGGTTGATTTGACAGTTGCATATGAAAAGAAGATGCAATATTCATCAAACTTAATTGAACTGAACAACCTCGTCGTTGGAGATTGGAGAGTGCCATACCACACCTGTGATGTGTTACGAGGTTGACATGTTACCGGCTTCACATTACATGGTATACTTCATTACGAGCTTCGCATTACATGGTATAGCCATGACAACCATCTTATTTCGAGATAGAATTACATGACATGATGATATCACGTTACTTATTTCGACCTATTTCGACCTGTTTCATGTCTTTTCGACACATGGTGAGTCGTAATATGTAGTAATATGAGTCGTAATATGTCGTGATATGTCGAAAAGTAATTTTGCTACACATGGGGCGCCATAAGGGATTAACTACTCCAACGAAAGGCAGCAGGTCAATTTTCTCTAGTGGTATAATAATTAATCCCCCAAGGCACAGAGGGACTACAGAGTGAGAGGTACATTTCACACGGTACTTTCTTTAAAAGATCAAAATAAATGGAAGTCAGATGCATTAGTATTTTCTCCCACTATCCTTACGCATAGACTCACCCACGCCAGTGTTGTTGGGTTGTGTCGGTGGCATGGTATGCACGGAAGTAGGCGGGAGATTAGTTGGTGGCATTGTTGTCGCCGGCGGTGCTGTTGGCGGTATTGTTGTTGACGGTACCGGCGGTTCTTAAGTAAAAGAAGTAAAATTAATACACGAAGAGATTGCCGAACGAATCTTGGTCTATAATAAAACTACGATATAGCCAGCGTAAACGCACGTTTACAGAACTGAAACCAAACCCAGCGGGAATGTTAATATTGTAAGCCATTGTCAAATTCAAGTTCTCGACCTTCCTACAGAGGCGCTTTTGAGGGCTTTTCGACTTGAGCTACAGAGACAGTTCTGAGGCAAAGCCAAACATGATTTAACTTAGGTGTATTTCCCAGGGTGTGGTACAAGCTATAGCTGTTTTCGTTGATTGGTTCATCCTGGTATCTTCGTTTGCCGTGATTGGTGAAAGATGTAATTACTTTGGATCTTGTCTCAAGATGATCATTGGAAAACCACTCTACAACGAAGCTGACCATAAAAACAAAACTGGATGATGCTTTTGACATCTTAAAAGGCCTCATTTAACGTTTTATCCCTGCAAGTAAGTCTAGCTTACAGTAGGATGATCTAATAAGCAAAGTCTTACTGGTATTGCAGGTTTTGCAAGAGTGCGGGCATTCTTTCTTGATTTGATCCTCTGAGCATCTTCCTGTACAGGCCCACATTATGCAATCTATTTTTAGGTCCATGCAGCTATCTACAATATTACGATAGCAAATCTATCACAAAGGTGTGCATATAAAACAAGAAATCCTCGTAATGTTAAAACTAAACAAAACAAATCAGAAAAATAATTCAAACTTATAACGAATTTTCTATTACTCTAGATGGAAACATACATTTTACATGTGCCAGATCTGATGGAATTTAACAATTTGTGACACTTTTCCACAGTTTTTTTCGTGATAAATACAATGGATACAAGTTGTGCCTCAAATGATCGATATGCAGACTGAATTCAAGTTAACAGCACTGACTTTAGGGACCATGAATGCCCAATCTGTCTCTTAAAGTATATCTGAGTCAGAAAAGAAAGCTTTTTAGGGATCGCCTAACAATGCTGCTCGGTCATCGTCGTTGATGCTGACCGATGGTTAATTTAGGAAAACAAAGCCCATCTTTTTATGTCAGAAATGCGATACGTACTAAGATCGCAAGGAATGTGAAATTTCTAAGATCTTTACCTGAAGAACACAGGTTACAGGTTTTCTTGCAGTGATAAATCAGGGAATCGTGTTTTACACAAAATCCAGCCTTTTTCCATCCTTCACAGTCTCTCTGCGATGCTCTGTCTGCACATCTTTCCTGTTGATCTGCTACAAACAACCGATTGATGAAGCGTAAGATATACGCGCGAGAAACAGCAGGAAGAAAGGTAAATTGCAGGAATGAGCACTAACAACACCAACAATAATAAAATGATTAAAGTAAATTAACTGAAGAGTGTCACCTGCTTGTTTTTTCTCGTCAAGTTGAGCATCAATGGAACGGCCTAAACATGAACAATGACTATTTCAGAAAAGCATATAATCATTTAAGGACACCATTTTTAAAGGTAAGGATAAATCTTCACGTTAATTCGTTATATGAATTGTACTCAGATCTGATGTACTTAGGAGTATATATATACTAAGTAGAATGCGTGTATCTCATGTAATGCGTTGTAATAGTCCTATTACTGACCTGTCTTAGATTGTCAAAGTAACAGTAGGGTGCATGTCCTACTTGGGTTCGTACCTGAACATTTGTACATCCTGCGTGCCTGCAATGCATCATCGTCACTAAGTTTCACATATGGGGTCTTTCCATTTAACGGCCGGATAGGCTCCAGGGTCTTTTTACCATTTTTGGAGAAGGCAGTCCACGGGTAATGCATTATGGATGCATAATCATACGGGACTCCATAGTCCACTACCTCTGTTCCATAGACCTTCTTTTTGAAATTATATGCCATGTCTATGGAGCAGATTTTAAAATCTTTGGTCATAAAATTAAATTTACATGCACAACAGATCTTAATTCTAGCTTGTCTCGTTTCATTATATAACTGTAGAAACTTATGATACTGACGTTTAAGATTTTTGTACGTTAATCACCTCTTCTTTTACAAGGGCATGTAACCCCTCTTTCCCCTAGACTCCCACTTCTACCCTTTTTTTTTTAGCGGCATAACATTGGTAAAGAAATAAGTTGCTTCTGAGTGTTAAAGAGTTTTTAGATCACGTGCGGTTAAAATAAGGTAAAGATAATGGCAATAATAACGATAATAATGACAATGATGAGGATATTGTCATTTCGGTTAGTTAACCTGTAACTGAACAACTCAATGCTAAACAAAAAATGTTAGCCCGAGAAGTTAAAATTGGTGACTTGCAGCTTCCGAATTTTTTGGATTGATACCTCTTTCTCTCACAATTAGACAAAAACGTTTGTTTGCTAAGCCTCAAATTTCATAGTTTCTGTTTCTTTTTCCAGCCACAGAATCACCACACATTCAACCAACAGGTACTTACTGTCAAGTATGTTTTCCCAGTTGATCTTCAAGTAGTTGTCTCTATCAGGCCTGCTCTGCTCGTGCCAAAAGCCAATCGCATGTCCAAGCTCATGGGTCATGACGTGCTTGTATTCACAACCACTGCCAATTGACAGCCATGTCTTACGACCGTACACTTTACCGACCTCGCACCAACAGCTGTCGAGTAGAATCAGAAATATCTGTCCTTACTGAATCGTCACTGAATGCCTTTCCCTGAAAAACTTGGCTTTGGTATATTTTAAAGAATAAAGATACAAGAAATATAGTTGATTGTAACTTTTTTTAGTGTTTTTTTTTCAAATTTTATAGACGTATAGAAATATTTCATGGAAATAATGTCAGCAGTAATTAGTTTGTTGTACTTAATTGGTCGAGACTGCAATATTTATACTCTCTAAATAATACTAAAACTCACTTTCAGGCAATGTATCACGAACAGAACTAAGACTGATCCATTCAAAACTTTGGAAAAACACCTAAATAAACATTCACAGAATATCAAAGCAATTCATCGAGTCTTACCCATTTCCACGGTGGAACCACAGATATTCCTTCTCAGTTGTTCTCTTCACGAACCTGATGCACGTCTTGCTCTCCCACTCGGCAATGGCTTCCATTGTAGTTCTTACAGCTCGATCCATGTTAGCTACAAAGTAGAAATATAATAAGCTATCAGTGGTATTTCCCCTTGACTGCTTGTTAACCGACTAAGATTTTCCGTTTGTTTGACCAGTGACAAGAATAGATAGAAAGGCCAGCTTCCTGCATCTTTTTTATTAAGTTCTGTGTACATGCATTTTTTATTAGTTCAACTAACGGTAAAAGAAGAATAAGAACAGCAAAAACAACTGCAATAGCCAAAAGAATAAACATTTCTTATGCACTAACTGACCTACACTACAGTCAAACTCGTAAGGGATGACGGCATTGGGCCACTTTATCTTGTCAACATTAGTTGCGGCACGTGACGGTGCTCCATCAGGGTTTCCATATAAGGCATTATTCAGTCGCTGCTCTTCAGATAACTTGATGTCTCCTTCGTAAAGCTGTAATAAGGAGCGCGGGCTCTCCGGATCATCTGTAATGGGTTAGAATTACAGCAGATTATTCCACATGAATAAACTGCAGGGGAACATCATTTGCGGCAGCGTGCTCGCATGTGTGGGATTGTTTGAGTGCACATCTAAGAGGGCCGCTATTGTGGTGTCTTGTTACGGTGAAAATTCTTTAACGATTGTTTTCCTGTTGAACTAACATTCTTGCAGTAAAGATAATAACCAAGTCTATGTCTTGTAACTATATAGCGCCTATACTCAGCTAAAAGGTGTGTGTACCAACATTTTATATTGAAGATATTCGGAGAAAGTTTGGTTGTGGTGTTGATTCCTGAAAACGCAATAAAGTTCGTACGCTCGCAGATGATAAGTACACTCTTTTCAGGGTCATCTTACCATGATCATGTAGCCACCAAATGAGTTTATAATTATTGTATCTAAACAGTTTTTTTAGGCAAAATTGTATAGCGCAAATCGTCTAGATTAGCGACAATCATCACAAACTGTCACAAATGGAACTGAAAAATGCAGCAAACCAACCTTTTCCAAGATTAACGTCAAGAATCTGTTCAAAGGCGCCTTTCTGTCCGATGCCTCTTTTGGTCAGAAGGAGTGTGCCGATTACCAAAAGGGACAGTTGAGTTCTCATAATCATAACTGATTAGAACGCTTTTCTAGAAAGATGAGAAATTAAAACCTTTTGACGACGCCGCGGTACTAAATAATATAATAGCTACTCCATATTTAAGATCGATATGGTAAGACATATTTATGAGTAGATTTTTTTTGGTATTTGAGCACTAAAGTAATTGTGTTATTCTGAATAGACTGAATCTTATAGCATGTTTGCAGGGTGTTTGTTTCTACATCTTGCCATGACTCAAAAGAACAAATTATAAAAACGTTGTAAAGCGTGGTAGGTACCACCCTTTTTACATGCCGATGGTGTGGAGCCTAATTGAAAAGATTAGACTTTAAAACGCTGCCTATTACCAAATTAATCATGCCTTTAGTTAACTTACGATATGCTCGTTCCGTTGGACACCTTTTTTCAAGTCATGGCCTTCATTCTTGGGTAAAGAACTGACTAAGATCTTAGCTTTAGATCTTAATTACGCACGCTGCCCGTATAAAATCTTTCACATCCAAAATGAAATTTGGCTTCATTTCATACATTTCTAAATATGTTCGTAATGCCCCGGCCGCGCATGATTGTTGTACCTTTTACGTCTGTGGATGAAAACGTGGTGTAGTATTATGCAGTACACAAGTTGGTTCTAAGTTTTGAATCTGGCGTGCAACCATTTACATGAAGCTGTTAAGTGTAATGTAACTTTTTTATTTCCGATATTTTTAGTTGTTAGTTTTGAAATTCGGAATTGAAGAGAAACAATTTATTTTTTTATTTTTTTATTTTTTAACATCCCATTGTATTAGTTTCATTCAGATTTTTACAGCTGGTGTGATATCTCACGATTTTTACCGACTTAACTAAGTGTAGATGTAGATAGATATCATTGGTTATGGAATTCATATTGGCCAGCATCCTAGGTTATAATGATTATATTGATGAGCTATGACAAGTTGGAATTACGTGATTACCCAGTAACAAACACAACTTACCTGATAGTCTTCACGAGACCGTGGCAATGGTACTGTAGTGGTGAGAACCACACTGCTTAGTTTCTTTTTATCAATTGTTAATTTGAACAGTTGGTGCATGTTTGCCTGCTCGGAACAATCGTCAGCTTTACCTAAAGCGTGGCTCTATTTGATATTTTGAATCATATTTTAATATTTTTTCTAAGATGAGATAGATCAAGTCTCAAGTTTCATCTATGCTATGCCGTGGGTTTGATTTCTTTTCAAAAAAGGGAAGGAAAACCAAACATAGAATTTCCGGGTGAAGCTGTTCAAACTTTTGAATGTATCTGATGCATGGACGATGGAATAGAACATGGCTATCAGTAAACATGGAAACTTTATCATTCACCTTTTGTAGCACCGCTTGACAATAACTCTAATCAGTTCGGAGAGAAAGACTTCTAGGGTTCTGTTGCAACACAATTCAGCACTGCAATCCAATTGCAATTCAACACTTGAGAGTAACTCAAGAGTGAATTTTCTGATTTCTGCAAAGTACATAAAAAGTCATTCAGGTTTCTAAAAACATCAATGAAAGAATAGCCAAAACGATAAATAACTGGAGAATAATCTCACTGAGTTCAGAAAAGTCTTTACTTCGTAAAATATTTGTTTAGCCGACCTGCAGAGCTAAAAAGAAGTTACGACAGAGAGCAAACAGTGGAGACGGGGAAGACAGCTTAACTGAATAGATATATGCTTTGTTGGAATAGCACACTTAGGACAGGATTAAGACAATATAAATAACTACAAACCGATTCAAAGCGGAAGCAAACTCAGCTGACCCATGTAGAAAACTGATATCCCTTTATATAAAATTCGGTGATCCTCTTTTGCGTACAAATGTTATTCGTATGTTGAAAATAAACATCCCGCCAATTTTGATAGTTTTCCTGTAAAAACCTGGAATGCTGAATTTATGTAATTTAGAGAAATTGCGAAACGTTTTCGGAAAATAATGTACGAGTCAGTATTCCGCGCAAATTCACAAAGATTCAAAATGTTACCACGATAACTTCACAAACAGTTATGTCTTTGCTGGAGTTGCCCTAACCCCATCGGCACTATCATTTTAAATGATTTCTAGTTCACAAAACTATATATAACCTGCATCACAGGCGAACGCCTGAATTAACTAGTGACTTAGTTCAGTTGTGTATCAAACTGAAATAAACTGGTGATTAAAGGGTCAGTGTCCAGCCTGATGATAAACCACATATTAAAAAGTATGGCGTCGGAAGTTACCAAACTGAAAAATTCACTTGGATGGAAATTTTGATTTCTCGACATCCTGTCACAGATTCAAATTTGATGAACTTTAGGGCGATTTCTATCCTGTTAACTCCCTTCATCTCCCCCCAAAAGCTTTCTTTTGTACGTAGCGGAATCTCGATCTGCTCGATTTCTTCAGCCTCCCGATAACTCGAACAAACTGTCGTTTCCCTCCCCTCAGCAGTCGAGCATTGTAATTTTACCCCCCGATTTCACGAAATACCCATTTTGTGAAACCAATTTTTGTTTCCCTTGGAGGGTTGAAAAATGCGGATTGCACTGTATTTTGCTTTCTAGCCATTTTAGTTATCTTTTTGGCAGCATTTGGCAATTAAAAACGAAAATTAGGAAAGAGAGCAAGCTTGGAGGACGTTCGATAGTCAGTCCGGACACCATCCTTTTCAGGAGCCATAATCGGGGACGGAGACCGTAAGCGCGCGCCATTTCTAGTATTGGGGCTGTCCCTATGATGTGGGACAATTTCTATTTTTAGAACAAATTGCGCCATCGCCTGCGGCACACGCGCGTACATGCTGCGAGGATTTTTGCGGATGTCGCGCGGGGGAAATGGCGTCCGAAATTCCCAAAATTTTTCATGTTTTTGTCCACAACTCAACGCGTTTACGTCTGTTGGAATTTTGCTTAAGTATTTTCGTCGTAAGCTGCTCCAGTTTGAGTGAAGTAAGACAGTGTCGAATTTAGTTATGTTCCGCTATAAGCTTATATATATATCGCTGACCAGGTTGTGTTCCGACGGATGCTTCTTTTACATGAGCTGTACATTAATCCACTTTAAATTTCACATATGTTGAAGATTAACAGCTTTTCCATTACACAGCAAAGAACTAGCTGGATATATTTAGATATAGCAGAGCTTCAGGACTTCATAGTTTCCTAGCTCCTCTTGCCACACGCTTGCGAGGAATTTGTCAGTCTATCGCGACCGAAAAGTAAAACAAAATAATTGCTAGTTTGAGTTTCGCTTGAATTTTAAGCAACGCTTGATGTTTCATCCAAGGCCCAATAACTTTACGTCCGTAGATACTGCTCAGTTTTATTCGTGTAAAAATCCAGTAAATTCTCTGTTGTCAATGAATGAGAGCGCCCGCCCAGCAAAGTCACGATGACGCTTTCTTTAGTCAACTTGGAATAACGATTTCGAGTTTGTTGATCGAGCTATCAAAACTCCTTGTCTATTTTCATTTTCGCAGTGTAAAACTTCACTATGCTTATGTTGAAGAAACACACATGATGTTAGTAGCCTTTTTTGCGTTCGTGAAATTTGTTGCAGCATCTCAGCACAAAAGATAACGAAAGAAATCTTTGTCAAGATTTGTTGACAATTGAAAACTCACCAAACAAGCAGAAACAATAAGCAACCATCAAAACAGGTTTCGGTTATGATTAACCATTGTCTGAGAAACTCACAAATTAACTCGATACCAGAGTAGAGAGTTTTCTTGCGAACAAACGCAAAAACATACGCGTAAGCTTACAACTAGCGCGAGCAGATCTTATTATTCATTCCCAGCGCGAGATTGAAGTCTTGTTTTCGACCCTGAAAAACCCACCTTTTCCGTTAGCTCAGAGCATAAAACTACATATGAGCGCCCTGGTTCGTATTCTCTAACTCTCACCATTTGATCACGCAACGTGACAACATCCACGCGAGAGCCCCCGACATGTGCGTGAATCCGCGCGGATATATGACGTCAGGATGGCGCAATTTGTTCTAAAAATAGAAAAATTGTCCCATATCATAGGTGCGCGCGGATCCCAAGACTTACGGTCTCCGTCCCCGATTATGACTCCTCTCCTTTTATATAGTTCATGCTGCTTTGAAATCTTCAAGTAATATAACAAACACGAGAGACAGTGTTTCATCGGGATATCCAAACACCGAGAAGAGAGTTGAAAATACGACGCGCAGCGGCGTATTTTTGACGAAGTTCGAGGTGTTTGGATAGCCTATGAAACACTTTCTCAAGTGATTGATATATCTTCTCAATCGAAACAAAATATAAGGAGTTAACGGAGAAGTAAAATCGTCAAAATCTACGCTAATTAAGACCAGGTATCCAAACCTCCTTCACGGTTGTGATTTTCTTTGTTTTATTTTGATGAATTATTAATAAGTCTGAAAATATACTTTCTAATTCGAAGGCGTTCAATCATTTTCTGCCACAAAATATTGTTTTTCTTAGTTTGATTCAAACAGGAGTGTCTATTTCCTTCTGAGAATATGTATGGTACGCTGGACAAAACTGTTCTGGATCGACGTTTTTCGACCAAAAATCAAAACAAGCAAAACGATGCAAGTAATTTTTTGATTGTCTTAAATCTTATTAAATTCCACATAAACAACACAATATGGCATCGAATTATAAGGGTTTATGTGGGATTTTCTACAAGATATCCATGGAGGTAGTTAAAAGTGAAAATTCTCAATAAAAATGGCTTACCTTATTCCATATGTGTGTTGTTTGCTCCTGGTGTGGTTATTTTGCCGATTGAACTTGAGTTAAGCGACTTTTTTGAATTCCGGTTTTCCCTTCATAAAGAGAGGACAAGGCGAAACACCTTAGTCGGGACGCCCTGCCGAACAAAGTCAAAAATCCAAGGCTAAAATGTACCCACGGCCACAAATCCACCGCAGAATTCAAGGGAAAAGGTTGATCTTTCATTTCAATTCTCTAGCCACACAATCGCAGCCCTGCGAACGACGCCAGGCGGCTCTTCATGTCCCCAATGAAACGATAAAAAGATGGAAGAGCTCCGTGTCCGTTTGATCCGCGACACAACGACCGTTGAAATCGGCTTGGTAATCTCGTCATGTTGGCAAACCAAGACTCACGGGGGTGCTAGACCGAAATTTGTCAACCAAACTTCTTGTAACACCCGGGCTCCTCTCAGATCGAATTTACAATGCAAAATAAAATCGTACAGAACGCTTTCGCAAAATGGCTTCAAGACCAAAGAAACGTAAAATCAACGGCGAAAGCTCCGTAGAAACTGAGGAGATACAATCATTTTTGAACTGGAAGTAATGGTAAGTTTTCACGTTTATGCACCTTTGAGTTACGTGGTCCTCGCCTCACCAATTTAACTTCATCTGCCCATAATTCGTTAAGAATTCTCCCGAGCGTTTTCAGAGCTCAATTTGGCGGCATTTTCTTTCTCTTCGTATGCTCTGGACGAAATTTTGCTGGCTTCCATTACAGTTTCCTCACAATATTCGCAATTCCACAATACCCTAAGAGAAGCAAATTTAGTTTGTCAGGTCGGAAATATTTTATACAAACAAATCAAAGGTGCATAAACGTGAAAACTTACCATGACTTCCACTTCAAAAATGATTGTGGGAAGACTTGAGTTTCAGCGTATCTAAATTTGCGTACTCAGTGAATCACAAAAGTAAGGAAAATGGCGCGATTCCTGGGAAAAAATAGTTTTGGTTTACATCGACATCGTAGTGTTAGACCAGTACAGTGCTTTTTTTTTTTTTTTTTTTTTTTTTTTTTTTTTTTTTTTTNTGTTATGCGAGAAAATGGCAAGCTCCTGGTAGACGAGCCCAGAAAAAGGTCTGAAAACTTTCCTAAAAGCACAAATACCAGTGTCTGAGGTTCTTAGCCGACAGCGCCTTAACACAGCAATAACCGTTATGCATTTGTGGCTTGTACGAAGCGCGAGCTAAAGGCTGCCATCTTCAAAACATGGAAGACCGATCCGTGGCAAGAACAGTTCAACGACTTCGATGAAGATCAGTTTCTGAAGATAGTATCGTATTTTAGTGACCAGTAAGTGGTAAGTCTTTCTCATGCTTTCTTGTCAAAATCTTGACAAAA